TCCTGACCTGTGCGCCCCACACCTTCCCAGCCCTGCTGCCCACACAGCTCTCCACTGGCCCCAAAGAACCCCGCTGCCCCCTTCCCTCACTGGAGGGGCAGGCAGCCCTGGCAGGCACTTGCCCCCCTCGTGCTTGTATGCATGTGCACACGCTCCCCAAGCCCTGGCCTTACCTGCGTACAGCCTCCAGGGCTTGTGAGTAGACGCATCCCCCACTTGTGATGTCCCTCCCCTGCTCCCCACATCCCCAAGCAGCTCCTTGCTGGGGCAAGCCAGAAAGTGCTGGGAAAAACTTCCATGCTAAGCAGACGCAGAGGAAAATCCTGGATATTCATTGATATTTTAAAAAACTGCCCGGATGGAGATGGGAAGACCCAAAAACAGGACACATTGTAACTTTACCTTAACATCTAACAGAATATATACAAAGACCAGTTTTTCATACTTGCTGTTTGCCTGATCTCAGTCCCATCAGTATGAGCAAGTCTAAGAGGGTTTACATCATGCCAATACAGAATGAATTAGTATACAGTTTCTGTGACTGAAAAGTAGTCAGTTTAAATGTAAAACAGAGGGACTTTCCATGCCCTGCAGACTTGGCTTTCCCCTAGACCCTAGAGTGAATTTTAAAGGAACACAAAAAGAAACATGATACTACAATGGAGCCTTAGCTATCTGGTTTAAATATACTGTTAAGAAACTTGTGTATATAACTTGTATGTGTGGATCGCAAGGCAACATGTAAACCACAAAGTCTGAGTATACTGGGTATAACTCATTTCCTTTGTCTTTTAGGTTCAGGTTTAGTGGTCGAATCCTTGGTCTTGCTCTGATACATCAATATCTGCTAGATGCCTTCTTTACCCGGCCCTTTTATAAAGCCCTCCTCCGAATGTAAGTGGAACTGTTCTCTCTTTTGCAGTAAATGTTCAGCTTTTCATACCTAGGAAAATAAAGCCATATAAGTAATTATTTGGTCACTTGTCTACAGGGATCCTGGTTTTCTCTGTTTAAAAACTGCAAATTCTCTGGTTAAACCCCCCAAAATCCGTGTTTTTCCATGATTAAGATGAAACACCACTATGTAAATAGGTATCAATTTAACACAATTTTTATTGACATATTTACAATTTTAAAGCAATTTGGAAGCCTACCAGTGCCTCCATCATTATAATAAAATTAATTTTAAATACCTATATATTTTGGCATTTGACTATCATGGAAAATCAGAGCTCCCCTTGCTACCTTCCCTCACCAGGATGTGGGTCCAGCTGTGGCTGTCCCCCTGCTGCTTTGTGGCACTGAGCAACCCTGATATGTCGGTGCCTGCCTCTGCCCACACTGCTGGCCCTCAGTCCTACCAGTGCCTCTCACTCTTGACCCACAGTCCCCTAGCCCTGCTGGTTCTCCTTACTCCGAACCCACAATCCTCTGCTCCCCCAGGCCATGCTGATGCCCCTCACTCCCAACCCACAGGCCCCCGTCCCCCCCAGTGTTCCTCACTCCCAAGCAGCCACAGCTCCCCCAGCCCTGTCGGTGCCCCTTACTCTTGACCTGCAGCCTTATATCCCCACCCCCACCCCCAGCTCTGGTGGAGAGGGTCCCCAGCTGCTGCTGTCCCACCCCTGTCTCTCACATACCCATCCCCTCTACATACCCCTGCCCCACACACACACACACCCCTCCAGACAGTCCCCAAGCCCTGGCCCTCCAACCTCTGCCCCCCATGGACTTACCTGCATCCAGCTGCTGGGGCTAGTTCGACCACGCTGCCTGGCTTTATGCCAGCTATGTGTGTATGTGTGTGTACATGCATGTGGTGTCCCCTTCTTCCAGTAGCCCTTCTCCCACTTCTCCCAGCCCCAAGCAGGTCCTTGTAGGCTGAAAGGCTGCCAGCCTGCAAAGGGCAATCTGTGGTTTCCTATGGTTTCCTTTAAAGTGGAAAATTCACACTTTTCTCCTTTAAAGAGGGAAATCCACATTTCCTCCTTCAAATGAGAAAACCTGCATTTTTCCACATTAAATGGAAAACCTGGATCCCTGCTTATAGTTAATCCAAGATGTATTTTAGTCTTTTTGCTCCAACTTATGGTATTAGCTAGTTACCTTATAACTCAAATGTTGATTGTGATCAGTATGAAAACCTCGTGATTAATTTTAACCTTTTAAATTATCTTTCTACTATAAAATACTTGAAGTCATGCAAAGATTGTGGTATTATTACAGATATTAATAAATTGCTTGTTCATTTCGCTTTAATGAGTCGTAGAACAGGATATGAATCACTCGACAATCTAGGTTTAAGACCAGCATTTTCAAAGGTAGCCTTTAATTTTTGGTTGCCTCCAATTTGACTTGCTCAGCTTTAAGATACCTTGGGTCTGATTTTGAAAACTACTGCTATTGTATACCCACTGCTTCAGCTCAAGATGAAAACTGCAGTTGCTCAACACCACTCAAAGTCAGGACTGATGTATCTCAAGTTTGGGGACCTAAAAATTAAGCACCTAAAATTGAGAGTCAATATTTATGCGTTTTGGAAGGGTGATTTCTATTTGTCTGAAAAGCATCCTGCAGATTTATGGAACTGTGGAAATAAAACATTACTATTTATGTATTTCCTTTTATAGCATGTAAACTTGTAGTAAGTGCTTTACAATATTTTTTTTAAACATGATTCCTGCCCCTACAAGCTAATTTTAGAGGAGATGTCATGAGGGGAGCTAATAGAATAGTATAGAGCCTGAGCAAAGAAGAGCAAAGACTCTTGCAGTAATATCATGTAATCATTAAATTCCATTAGCTCTTTATCTTAGTGCTTATCTAGATAAGTTTTAAAAATAACCCAGGGCCAGCGCCTGCCACCTTAACCACACTGGTTCTGATTCATGAGTTCAGTAAGAAACAGCAAAGTGGCTGCATGCTTCTCCACCAGAGGCCTTCTGTAGAGTTACATAGCTGGTTCTAATGTCTTTGCAGTCTGTACACATCCCTGCAGGCAACTCTGATGTGCGTAGGGCCTTCCTGGGTCAGTGAGGATCATATTACTCCACCCATTCTGCTGCAGGGTGCAAGTTAAAATAATTTTTGTCCCAAGCCAACTCCTGACACTCTTTAAGTAACAAAGAACTGAGCTGCCTCCCATCTGTCTTTTCATGAGCCTTAGCACAGAAACAAGGTTAGATTCCCCTGGTGGGGTAGCAGAGAGAGGTACTTTATGAGGGGTAAGATGTTATTCAGTGTTAATAAGCATGGCAGGATTTGACCTAAGTAAATGTTGCTGTTAACTGACTTCTGGTGGGGATCTTGGAAGAAGTTAGTGCTAACAAAGGGCTTGAATGAGAAGAGGGTAGATGGCCTGCAGACTGGATTGGGAAGGATGTGCCTGCTTTAGCAGCAACATAGCCAAAAGCACAACAGACAGTTTTGGGAGATGTGGATAACTAAGCTGTGAAAGCTTGCATCATTGGCCAAGTAGGCCAGTCAAAGAGGTGATAGAGTAGGAACCTGAGCAATAAGTACAGTGCCAGTTGCTAGTGATAAGAAGTTCCTATTTCTTTTATGGGATGAATTGCGTACTATCTGTAGGTGGCTTATTTCTATCTATAGAATTATTAGGGTTTTATTTTCCTATATTTCAGGTCTAAAATAAAGTTTCATGAAATACAGGGCAAACACCTGGGAACAATATGAAATATATAAATAAAAGGTCTTGAAATAAAATTTCAAAGTTGGAGTCTATAGTTTAGCAAAATGGAGAGAATAAGTGTGGAACAGGCAGCCACTGTTACCATTAGCAGGCGAACACACAAAGTCAGAATAGTTTCTACTAATTTGACTTCAGGACCTCAGCACAAAGGAATCTAGTAACCACTGTTCTTTGTTCTGTTGGTTTCTCTGAGCTCCCTTTATTCTCAGTATGTTTTGTAGGGCTGTCCTGTCTAGCTCTGTTACTGAGCACACACTATGGCTGTCAGCTATATATGTATGTTTTCTTCTTGTTTATGTTAGACTATGTGACCTGAGTGACTTGGAATACCTTGATGAGGAGTTCCACCAGAGTTTGCAGTGGATGAAAGACAACGATATACATGATATCCTAGATCTCACATTCACTGTAAATGAAGAAGTTTTTGGGCAGGTGTGAAAGATTCTTACTTTCCTTTCCTTTTCTCTTTATAGTCTATTATGTCACTGTTTCTTTGGACTTAAATATGATTGTCATTCCCAACTGATTTTAAGTACTTTTTAATAAAAATCATATATGATACAGACAGCTTTAAAATCTTATGGAAATGTATCATCTATTGCCAAGCATGGCTTTCTGATTAAAAAGACTTTCTGAAGACTATATGAAATGTCACATACTTGAGTTTTCTTTGCTGACAGTAGTTCATCTAAATTTTGTCAGTATTGTCTGTCAGCATTCAAAGGTTATATGATATAGGAAAACTCATTTCTAACATCTGTCTACAGGGATGACAATGCAAAATTGGTTTATCTCTCTTATTTTGTAGCTTGTTTCTAAGTCATGATTTCATCAAAACAGGGGCTTCATCTGTATCATCTGAATTTATGTACTCCTGTTCAGTAAAGCTGGCCTCTGCTTGTTTAATCATATTGGGAATTAGCATAACAAAATGTACAAGTGATCCTTTTTGTCTTTACATTATTTTGTGGTGGGTTTTTTATTTTATTTTATTTTATTTTATTTTAACCTTTTAGATCACTGAACGGGAATTAAAGCCAGGAGGTGCCAACATCCCAGTCACAGAGAAAAACAAAAAAGAATACATAGAGAGAATGGTGAAATGGAGAATTGAGAGAGGGGTTGTGCAGCAAACAGAAAGTCTAGTTCGTGGTTTCTATGAGGTAAAAAAAATCCTACTTGTGAACTGGTTCCCCAACAAACATTTTCTCAATATGAATTTTTAATGCTCCCAACAATATAGTATTTATATAACACATGTAAAACTAGACGTAACAGTGAATAAGTCCAAACAGTGGATTAATTTTATTATTTTGTAACAGTCAAATGTCTTAGTATGTAAATGAAAGTAATTGTTGGTCATTGAGTAGCTACGCTTTGTCATGCCTACTATTCACATTAGTGGCAGTAGATACTCTGATGTGTACAGTCTAGCCTTTTCTTTTATTCTTGAAATTATCTTATTTAGACATAGAAGAAGTTTTTTACTTCACCCCAGCCTAGCAGAGTTGCCTAAGTGTATGTCAAATGTACGTTTTCTGCATTTTCTACATTTGGTCATCGAACTTGAATATATTGAATTCCTATTGCCCTGGAGTGTTTCAGTATTATTTGTTGAATAACTTGCCTTCCAGAAAGTATGATCTTCATATAAAGTTGAATGCAGTTACAGTGTTAAAACAAAACAGACCACAACACAATAAAACCATACACAGAGTGGAAGAACAGTCTGTTTATTTGACTTCTGAAAAATGTTTAAACCTTAAAATTTGCCATGCATTGAACAAGCCAGAACACCTCTTTGCTTGAAAAATAATACTATATTTGTAATGGAGGAGCTTATTTAGTAAAAGGCAAAAATAATAGAAGCAATGAGTACTTTTTCTGTATTTTGTTTCCCTTCACAGGTGGTTGATGCTCGACTTGTGTCTGTATTTGATGCAAGAGAACTGGAACTGGTTATTGCTGGCACAGCAGAAATTGACTTAAGTGACTGGAGAAATAACACAGAGTATAGAGGAGGTGACGTTAATTTTTCAGTTTTGCTATTCATAATAAATTCTAAAACAGCATCATCATTATTTTAAGCTATCCCATTCTACATCATCCTATGAAATATATTATTATTATTTAATGTCAAAATATCATTATTTTCCTGGTTAGTTTTGGATTAAGAGCAGACATTTTAGTAACTTTTAGCTTTCCTTCCTGTTCCCATATTCACAGCACTTCCTTGGTAGTCATCTTCATGGACAGCAGTCAGATATCAGACTTTTTGGAATCAATGGCAAATGGCAGCCATATCTATTTAGTTGAAACCACCTCATTTCTACCTGAAAAGGGTATAGGGAACTGGCTGTGATCCTAAGTGAGGCATGGCTTCAGTCCCAGTGAGAACAATGGGAGCTGATGGCAGCTACTGTGAGCGAGATGGCTGTAACCATTCTGACACGAGGCACAACTTTAAAAAAAAATTACCCCCCCCATGTCACCAGAGTTAATAATGCTACTTAGCAACTTGCTAGTGATTGATATGTCTATATATTTGCAAAAGGGATTTTGTATTTCTGTTTCTTAACAAATTGGATGAATGTCTGCCTTTGATTTGCAACAAAGTACAGTAAACCTGGTGAGAGCCCTTGTTTTGTTTCACTTTTTTCCCATTGATTTAGACATATAGAGATTTGCACTGTAACCAAGGATGAGAAAGGAGAAGGTCAATAACTATTAGCATTTCAAATATATTCTCTCACAAACTTATAAATAAAGCTAAAAGAGCCAAAAGTAATGTAGCTTTTGTTGTTCTAACAGGTTACCATGACAATCATATTGTAATTCGCTGGTTCTGGGCTGCTGTAGAAAGATTCAACAATGAACAAAGACTAAGGCTGTTACAGGTGAGAGATCAGTTGATTCCTATAGATATATTCCTCCCCATTGTATATTAGATGTTAAACTACATTCCAGGATGATGACATTTTTTGATAGTGTGGAACATGGGAAGGACCTGGGAACTCTGCAGTCTCCTCCAGACACTTTCTGGTAGGGCTATGTGATGCTTCGGTCCCCGATTCGATTCGGTGGAGATTGAGCCCAATTCGGTGACCGAATCTCTGGATCCGAATAGAATTGGGAGACCCTTTAAGCTCTCCGAATCGATTCAGAGAGTTCCAATTTGATTTGGAAAGATTTGACAATTTGGACATAGACACAGCTTTAAATGTTTTTTCTATATACCTCAAGGTACCAGGCGGCTCATAAATGCTGTGATGCTGGGGTGGATGGAGTGTCCCACAGGAAAGTGGGGAGAGGAAAGTGGAGTGTCCCACAGGAAGTGGGCTCCCAGTGCATTTGGCAGCAGACCCAGAAGTGAACTAGGAGATTGGTGCCTCCTGGGTCTGGGGGGATACCCGGGGTCCCCCTGCAGCTGATCTCCAAGCTGTAGGAGTATGGGGGGGGTCCCCCCAATGCACTCGGCGGCGGACCCGGAAGTGGACTGGAAGTTTCCTGTGAGATGCTCCATCCACCCCAGCATTGCAGCATTCACAAGTCGCTCCTGGTACCTTGGAGAATGTAGAAAAAACATTTAAAGCTGTGCCTATGACTGAATCGCTTATTCTCTGAATCAGCATCGAATCTGCAGATTCGGATTCAGCGGAATCGAATCAGGGACAATGATCCGAATCAACGAATAGAATCACTGTCCCCAATTTGGGCCAAATCCAAATTGAATACGGCTCGTTTCACACACCCCTACTTCCTGGAATAAGTGTAGAGGACTTGTTCTCAGGGCTTTTTTTTCTAAAAGGTTATATTGGGTGTCTAAGTGGACTCTTTAAAAGAAAATTAGTCTAAGAAGCCCTTAGTCTAAGAAGCCCTCTCTCCTTGTCTACTATCAGGAAATATCTGTCTCTAGAACTTCCCTGTTTCTGACTCCCTCTCACAGAGGGTCTTATGAAATGCTTTTACATGAGCAATTTGACTTCAGTGTGAACACCAATATGAGTAAAGTTACTCGGGTGCACAAACACTGAAAGACCCTTCATTTGTGCATTGATTCTTAATAGAGTATAACCTCATGAATCCAGGCATGCTTGGGACTGAACACCTGGCAGAAATGTGAATATTCCGGATTTTTGAAACCAGAGAGATGGCCGGTCCTGGAGTGGTGGTAGGGCAGGGCGGTGGGAAGGGTACTGGCAGCCGGTCCTGGACCAGCGGCTGTACGTGGAGCAGCGACAGCAGGATGGTGGATGGCAGCTATAGCTGCTGTATGCAAGCTTCCCCCTCTACTGCTCTGGGACCGGCTGCCACAACTCCCTGATGGAGTGTAGTTTTAAAAAGTGCTGGATTTTCAGTAATTCCAGATTTTTTATATCTGGATTTATGAGGTTATACTGTGCTCTGTTTGTGTTGACAGTTTGTTACAGGCACCTCCAGCATACCTTATGAAGGCTTTGCCTCTCTGAGAGGGAGCAATGGGCCAAGAAGATTCTGTGTAGAAAAATGGGGGAAAATCACTGCTCTTCCAAGGTAAACCTATATATTTGTATACATTTTTGTACTTATAGCTATTGTTGAAAAATATCAAAGTATATTTTAAACTACTTGCATATTTCTAACTCAGCTCACTGTGAGCTGGTTGTGGTAAATATCATATTTTGCCTGCTGAAACCATTAACTATTGAGGTGGTGAATGAAGTTTGTGAAGTGTGAACAGCTGTCATAAACTACAGTGAGAAAGGCAATCTAATTGTGCTTAATACTCTGTATCTTAACATTTCTGTTTCTTTATTACTTCATTACATTTTACAGGAGTAAATATCCACTTAAGGGTTTTATGGGGAAAAAAAAATGTTAGAAATGGGTTTAACTCCTGTAAAATATAGTGAATGAATAAAGAAACAGAAATGTTAAGATACAGAGTATTAAACACAATTAGATTGCCTTTCTCACTGTTCCATTTTTTAATGAACAATTCTAATATTATAAAAGCCTAAATCTGTCTGTCTCTGTCCATAATGCTTTGTTTGCACTCTGATTGGCTGACGAACAGCCAATCAGAGTGTGAAGAAGCATTCTGACAGAAGGCAGCCTGCCATCATGATGGTGGGGACACAGGACAGAGCGAGGTGGGGGGCGAGGCCAGCAGAGCTGGCCTTGTCCTCCCGCCCTGCTCCCTGCAGGTAATGCAGGGAGCAGGCCCAAGCCACCATTTTGGGGGGGGAATAGTGGGCCCATGGCCTGACATCGTCATGGCTGCGGGGAGGGAAGGAATGGGTCTCCTCCTTACCTCAGGCCCAGGTCCACTCCTCCCTCCTCCCCCTCCCCCTTGAGCCCACTTCTCCTGTGCGTGAGTGGGCCTGATGTGGGGGAGGGGGGAGGAGCAGGCACACTGTGGCATCAGCGGTGACAGTGGGGCCAAGGGAGGACTGGGCCCAGGCTCAATGTGGGGGACGGGAGGGAGCGAGCCCAAGCTGAAGGAAAAGCCGGCCCGCCAAGGCAGTGTGGCAGGGTCCTGGCCCAGCCCAGCCCAACATGGCAGCCGCAAGGGGAGGGGAGGAGCGAGCCGCCTCCCCTCGTCGGGCCTGGGTTCACTCTGGCCCTACCCCTGATCCCCCGCAGCAGCCCCAAGCCCGCTCCTCCCATCCCCCCGCTGCCGCCAGGTCAGTCTGGGCCCACTTCTTCCCCCCCAGACCCTCCCACCATGGTGGCCCAGCTTCTCCCCACCCTTGGGCCTGGTCCTCCCCTGCATTGGGCAGAGAGAGGGGGATTTCTTCACAGTGGCCTCCAGCTTAGGGTCCTGAAGAAGCTCAGATGAGAAGTTGCTGAACTCCTAACTGTAGTATACAACTAACACCATCACTAAAAACAGCTTTAGTACCAGAGGACTGGAGGCTGACTCCAACTAGACTCCCATATTTTAAAAGAGCTCTAGAGGGAATGCAGGGAACTATAGGCTAGTGAGACTAACCTCTTAAAACTGGTAGAAACAATAACAATAAAAAAATTGTTCAAGACATGAACTAACATGACTTGCTGGGGAGAAATCAACATGGTTTTGTCAGAGGGAAATCTTGCTTCACCTACTTACTAAATTTCTTTGAGGGTGTCAATAAGCAGGTGGATTGGGGCAATCCATTTGACATAGTATAGTCAGACTTCCACAAAGCGTTTCATATGGTCCCCCATCAGAGGCTCTTAACTAAATTAGGTAGTTAAGGGATTTCAGGGAACATCCACTTGTGGATTAGAAATTGGCTCAAAGGCCAAAAGGAAAGACTGAGCATAAATAGTCAACTTTCAGAATGGAAAGAAGTAAACAGTGGGGCTCCCCAGGGATCTGTGTTAGGACCAGTGTGGTTTAACCTAGTCATAAATGATCTGGAAAAGGGGGTGAGTAGTGAGGTGGCTAAATTCCCTGCTGACGCAAAATTATTCAAAGTGGTAAAGACCAAGCAAGACTGTGAGGAACTACAGAAGGATCTGGCATGATTGAGTGAACAGGCAACTAAATGACTGATGTAATTTAATGCAGACAAGTGTAAAGTGATGCACTTGGATAAAAGTAACCCAAACTACACCTACATTATGATGGGCTCTACATTAGCTGTTACCACACAGGAAAGATCTGGGAGTCATTGTGGACAGTTCACTAAAAACATCAGCTCAGTGCTCAGTAGCCATTAAAAAGGCAAACAAGAAGTTAAGGATTAATAAGAAGGGAACTGTAAACAAAATGAAAAGTATCACTATGCCCCTTTACAAATTCCTGGTGTGTCCACATTTTTAATACTGTACCCAGTTCTGGTCCCCACACCTGAAAAAAGATATAGAAGAACTAGAGAAGGTCCAGAGAAGGGCAACAAGGATGATTAGTGGTAAGGAGGGGCTTCCATATGAGGATAGACTAAAAAGGCTAGGCCTATTCTGTTTAGAAAAGAGAAACTTTAGGGGGGGCATGTTAAGGGTTTACAAACTACTAAATGGTGAAGAAAAAGTTAATAGGGGTTCACTATTTACTATCTCTCACAATACAAGAACCAGGGGTCATAAAATGGAACCCCCAAAATATATTAAAGTAATTATTTTGTAATGTAAACTGTTCCATTTCTCTTAATTGAATTTTGACCTTTAACTGTGTGGTTCCCATTTATACTTTTATCTGACAAAGCAGTTTTTTTTAAAGGCTACTGACTCTAGAAACTTATGTGCTGGCTCTCTACATTTCAGCTACACAGAACTATTTGTTGTTCTTTGATTTCCTATATAGAAATCAAAATTACTAACATGTCTGTCTCCAACCAGGACAACTTCTAGACATTACAAGGTAGAATTGTAGAACTAGAGAAAGGGATATCTTCCACAAATGTATCAATCTGACCATAGCACAGAGAAGGTGAAAGCACCTTCGTATTAAATTGTTGAATCTAGAAGGCTTGTGAAACAATGGCCAAGATGTGATCCATCTAATCCAGCCTGCTGGTGCTGCAGGCCATTTAATTCAGCTCTTTTCCCTGGCATCACTGAAAAAAAAAATGAGAAAAGCTGCTTTTCCTAACTTTTTCTCCTGTCACTGATCATATTACTCCCTATGCTGAATTCCTTCACTATCTTCCTTTCTCTTCCAGGCTTTCCTATGATAATGACTAGACAAGACAGTCAATGCCTGGGGTTTCCTCAGTTAATCAAATCTGATATTCACTTCTTGGTATATATAACCTCTTTCAAAGAATATCATAGGCATAGTGTTATTTTAATGTTTGTTCACCTTTGCTTTTTATTACTGAACTAGCCATTGCCTGTCAAGAATAACAGGGGGGGAGGGAGTGGGTAGGGACAAAGCCCGAGGCCCCACTGTCCAGGCCCGCTCCCCCTTCCCTCCTGCTGCTTCAGGCCCAGGGGAAAGGAAGGCTGCAGCCTGGATGAATTCCTGTAAGTAAAAACTAGGAAATTAGCCAGGAGTTAGGATTTATGTCTAGGCAGACGTGTTTTAAAAGGGCTACTACGTCCAAGACTGTGTAGGACTTTGATTGATTATGCTTGCTCAAATTGTGTTCTGACTTCCTTGGTCTCCCTCAGCCCCCAATCAATAAAGGTATTGGGTTACAGCGTGCCTGGCTGTTTCAGTGTAGGGTTGAGAGGCAAGCCTTTTGCTCCTGGCCTGGCTGGAGAGCTTGCCTGTGTATGTTCCCTCAGTTATACCTGAGGTTATCTGGGGGTGCTTTGGGCTGAAAGAGGCACCCAGAAATATTACCAGTGGGCAAAGCACCCCCAAGTCTTGCAGGGTCTGTGTGTCCTGGGCTGCACAAAGCCCTAACAGAGACCAGAGACTGGGTGGTGGCAGCATTACCCCAGGCTTGTGGGTTTTCTCCTACAAGTGGGACAGCCAGCGGTAGGCAGGCACCCTGTGGGAGGCTCCCAAAGCAAGGTTTTTGGGCTTAGCACAGTGAGATGGGTGGCTCTGCATAGTAGTGCCCCCACAGGTATCAGGTCCTGGTGATTTACTACTGTTTAGTTTATTAATTTCCTTTAGAATCTCATCTATGCACACCTCAATTTGGAACAACTCCACTGACTTGTTGCTAGAGGAGTGCATCTGGTGACGGAATTTCCCTAACATCTTCCACACTGAAGACAGATACAAAAAATGCATTTAGTTTCTTGGCAGTGACCCTGTCATTCTTTAATGATCCTTTTACACCTTGATCATCCAACGGCCCAACTGATTCCCTGGCAGGTCTTTGGCTTCAAACGTATTTAAATAAATCTTTATTGTGACCTTTTGTGTTTCTAGCAAGCTTTTCCTCGAATTCTCTCTTAGCTTGTCTTATTTCAGTTTTACATTTGCCTTGCTAGTATTTATGCTCTTTTTTATTTTCCTCATTAGGATTTGACATCCACTTTTTGAAAGAAGCCTTTTTTCTGCTTATTGCCTCTGCAACTCTACCATTAAACCATGCTGGCTTTCTTTTGGTCCACTTTCCTTTTTTTTTTTTATTTTTTATTTGTGGTATGCATTTGCTGTGTGCCTCCAGTATGGTGTTCTTAAGCAGTTCCCATGTTGCCTGCAAGTTCCTCACCTCTTTAGGGGCTCCTTTTAACTTCCATCTATCTAGCTTCTTCATTTTGCTGTAGTCTCCCTTTTTAAAGTTGAAGGCTACTGTGGTAGATTTTCTTGTCTCCCCTCCTATGTGGATGTCAAACTCAGTTGCATTGTAGTCACTATTGCCAAGTGGCTCAGTAACACTAACTCTTTACACTGGATCCTGTGTACTACTTAGGACTAGGTCAAGAATGGCCTTTCCTTTGGTAGGTTCCAGGACCAATTGCTCCAGGAAGCAGTCATTTATAGGAAATTTGGTCTCTGCATCTTGGCCTGATGTTAGATTGACCCAGGCTATTTGTAGATAGTTGAAGTCCCTCATTATTATTGTGTTTTCTGCTGTCACAGCCTCTCCCATTTCCCTTTAGCATTTCTAGCTTGCTGCTGCCGTCCTGGTCTGGAGTTTGACAGCGCATTCCCAGATGTA